TTTTTTTTTGGGTTCATTAGGAAATCTAACCTCAGCTCTTAGGCGGCAGCCTAGTTCGTACTGTGCATCTGGATTGCCCATCTCCGCAGCTTCCACTAACAATGCAGCTCCTCTGTTTTAATAATTCAGGGTATATAAAAGTTTATTTGAGTGGGAGCAGAGAGTTTAAGTTCAACGATATATACAAAAAATAAGAATAAAAAAGATGTAGGCCTCGGCTCATCTTTAGGCCAATTGTAATCAAACTCAAATGTGAAAATTATAGGACTCGGCTCCAAGGACAAATTATGACAGGAACACAAGCTATTCTTACACAGCTTTATTTGCACCAGGGAAGTGGTGGTATTTGAGATGCAACTTTCCCAGCCAGTATCTGGCATGGGTATTTGAGTTGTCAGCTTCAAGAGCCAACTCAAACTGTTCCTTTGCAGTCTGAGAAGATGAACCAAAAAGTTACCAATGTTACCCAACCATTTGTTTCAACTAAATCAAGATCTAATTTTACACACGAGTGTCACACAAAAACACCTATAAAAGCAGCTCAAGAAGCAGAGAAGGACTAAATGATGCACCATCATTCTATGCAATGGATAAACTAATATTCACCTGGAAACCGTCAAATGCCAAAAAGAAACAAAAACGCATCACAAAAGAGTCACCCTACCTAGTCATTGTCTTTTCAGTATAAGCGTGTTTGCTTAGAGATTGAAACATGTTCAATATTTGGAAGACATAAAAAAACCAGCACAATCAACTTATCCATAAGCTTAATATAGGTGCCCCACTTATTTCACAATTAATCTATTACACAGCACAACCCCTTGATATTTGTATTAAGTATACACATAGTTCTTCACAGTTAACACACGGTTCAGCTTTTAGGGTCACCACATGTTGCGAAAGTTCATCTTAATTTGCATTTAAAACACACATACAAACAAAAGGAAAATTACCTTAAGATATGGAATGAGACGCTTGTCGTAAAGTTCACAATAATCTATAACTCTGTCCACTTCCTGCACAGCACTAAACCCTTTGGCTATGAACTCCATTGCCTTCTTATTCCTACTGTGCATTCCTCTCTGCTACGATCAAAATTAAGGGAAAGACGAGTAAATCAAATCCACATAAATGGAAAAATAAAAAGCAATAAACTCAGAGTCACAAGAGGTTGATAATATCACAACAACTCACCGAAAATTTGAACCCTGGAAAGGCAGCAGCCAAGGTGCATACCTTCACAGCAGCCTGCCGAGGAAAAGCTCTAAGCATCTTCCCTATGTAAGCATCAATGAACACAAAATTTCACAACCAAATTTTGCCGATTTAGAAGCAATTCAACATTATTATTATTATTATTATTATTATTATTATTATTATTATTATTATTATTATTATTATTATTATTATTATTATTATTATTATTATTA